TTCAAGCGGGTATTGTCTATCATCGCAACAGATGGTCTAGCAGCCAACTTCGCCGCAGAAAAGCTGGTGGCCGAGCATGAGGAGGCCAAGTATCCCAACGTTGCTTTTGGCCGATTGCACCTGTCTTGCGACGTGCGCAAATGCCATGGAATTGGGAAGTCTATGTTCAACCTCTATCCTTTTCTCCTCAGGATTGGTGAAGGCCGCGCTTTTTCTGAGGACGGGAGCCATGCAGCAGTTCAGGTGCGCATTCAAGAAGGTCTTGGCGCGGCAAATTCGGGTCAGCTATGGGCAAGCTCCTTCTTTTGGAATTTGTCCTGACACGCACCGAGCTTTTCTGATCCGCACATTCCGACACCCCAAGGGACGACCTCATCCAAGGCGGGGTTAGAAGGGGAAGAGGCACCGGTGAAGAGTGGAGTGACGTTGACAGGTCAAGCGTGGTAAGACATGTTTACCAACTTGTCTCGGTGTTCTCAACTATAAGCAATGTTTTTCACCGAAAAAACTATGATAGTTTTTTCGGTGAAAACAGCCCACGTTCTACGAATCTTTTTTTGAGGATTAGTCTTGCGCGCGTGCAGCTGTGTGTTGCGATGCCTGCGTGCAAGCTTCTAGCAAAGTAGGGCAGGGTGAGGTGAAGTTGACCGCGAAACAGTCTTTGATAGAGTTGGCGCCAGGGCAATTCAATCTCAAGTACCTTTGATTTGATGTTGTTTTCTGGACATTTGGAGCAATGTTCGAGGTGAGATTCACCATATTTGCAGCGGGCCAGGGTGTTGCAAATCAGAAAGTGACGCCATCCAAAAGACGCAAGACATCCTTTACAAAGTTCTAGTTGTGCGCGGACCAAGAGTGCTGGCGCGCCACAAGTGGTTGGGCGCTGAGGAATCGATCGATTACTTCTCTCGACTTTGCGCAGTTCATGGGTTGCTGTCAGCCACTTTCAAGATGATGGAAAAGGCGGACAGTGATGATGACCCGTCCAAGCTGATGCAAGAACAACACGAACAGTCTGTTGTCAGTTTGCTCGAGTCACAGGCACCTGCTACTCCCACGACTGGCGTGGACAGTGATGATTTCAAAGTTGTTTTCAAACGTTGGAAATCTGTGGCTCACCAATGGGCATGCCGGTACCCGGACCATTACTCAGACATGTTGTTTTGCAGATTGGGTTTGTCGCCGCAGATCTCAATTTCAGCTTGTCTGAACCACGGTTTACCACTTTGCACCGAAATTGGTTTCGAGGTTAGGCTAGACGCTATAGCTGCTATTTTTTGGGTGGTCTCAACGACTATGCTAGGTAAGTAGTCGAATAGGTGGCAGATCGAAAGCTGAAATCAGCTGAGACAGCCATCGAGCGCCTGAAGACTTGGCAAAACACCTTGAGAGGAGACCAGTCCAAGAAGATGGAAGAGAGGTTGCGCAGCTGCCTCCAGAAGTGGACTGACGAGGCAGCAAGTTCAGAGGGCGACAGTTCCAAAGCAATCTTCCCATCGCAATCTTCCCATGCGCGAGGCCTCGACTGTCCTGGTCACATTCAAGGACGACCTTCGCAAAGCTCAGGAGGCGGTTTCACAGAATGCCAAGCAGGCCGAGACCAAGGCGAAAGTTGAGCTGTTGGACCAGCGCTGCCTTGAACTTGTGGGCCAAGATGGAACCGTTACAGCTCCTAGGTTGGAGGCGTTCTTGGACGCTTGCCGCTCTTCGACTGGACTCTACTTCTCCGACAAAGTCACGCATGAGGCGCGCAGAACCCCAGCCATTTGGGACACACCCAGCCTTGTGGGTTGGTCAGGGCGGTGCCAAACGACTTCTAGATTTAGCAATCGTTTTGCGCCGGTTTGGAGCCAGCGTGTCTCGTATCATGGCCCTGGCCAACCCAAGATGAACATTGCCTGCGCGCTCTGAGTCCCACCAGGTCGAGTCTTGCCAGTTTTTGGGTTATGCGGTTGCTTTGGGGGAAGGACCTTTATAGTTGATACTGCAAACCCTCGCCTCCATGCACTTCCATTCTTGCGGTTGGCGTGGCAGCCCCTGGCTGGCTTGAGGTTGTTGTGTAGTGGCGGTTGACCCACCCTCCCTCCTGAGTTCTTGGGAAACTATGGCGTATCCGATGTCCTATGCTAGTCAAACAGCCCAAGATTCTGTTACTCTGGTGGAGTTTTGGTGGCTCTGCTGCAGGTGCTGACCTGCCAGCCCTGCAGCGTCCCCCCCTTGCCACTGGTGGTCCTTCCAAAGAGGGAGCGCGCTTGGTGAGGGAGGGTTGCTTCGGACATGGGACATGGCCAAGAAAGACCGGTGACCAGTGACGAGAGTCACCAGAGATAGATCGCCAGGAGGGAGGGTGGAAAACACCTTTATACAGTTGTTTTTGTTTGGCAAACGATCCACAAAAGGCGGTTGGATGTTTTGTTTTTTTCTGCGTCGAGTCTTTGCAGGCAACACAATGCCACGCACAAGCCAGAGCGCGCAAATGCCATTGTCCATTGCGTCGTTGAGTCTTTTTTGAACTAAGAACATAGGATGCCAAAAGGGCCCGTGGACAGGACTTTTTTTGCACACTCGAATCAAGCAAAAGCAAGAAGCAAGAACATGGAACAACGCAACTTTCTGTGGTTTGCTGTATGATTGCTTGCGAGGTTTGACCCACAGCTTCTGTTGCATTGTTGGAGTATCAGCAACCCCCCCCCCCCAAGGCAACTTTTTGGGAGGCAGCCATACACCCCAACAATAGGAGCAAACAAACAGCAGCACGCAATTCCTGTTGTGTGTGGCCTAGTCAAGTTCTGCGTTCTGATTAGATTCGATGATGTACTTAATATATGCTTGTCAACTAGATTTGCTTCATAGGGTCTACTCAGATTCAGTTGCCGACTGTAGATAGATGGGAAAGGATTCTTGAAACATCATTGTTTCCAGTTGAAAAAGAACCTTCAGGATGCGGTCCTGACTCCATTGTTCAGTGTTAGTGTTTCAAACTTACCCCATACTTAGCTTTTCAATCACAAGAGAGATGCTGCAACTATATCAAGCGGCGCCGGGGTGAACCAACAAATCTTACTTGGGGTTTCAAGCTTCTGTGGTTTGGAGGTCGTGAAGAAGTGCTTCGATGCCGTGCGGGGACTCAACACCAAGAATGCGATCAATACCCTGATGCTTATGAGCAACCATGTTCCCCTTGATGGCCCTCAACGAGCACCTTTGTTGCACGTCGCGACTTTTTACAAGGTGAAGTTTGACATGAGCATCTCCATCGAGTCTATGCTTGCACTTGGCGCAAACGCTCAAGTACGGAGCAAGCGCGAGGCTTTCTCCAAGACCGAGACCCTGCTGATGACATCCCTGGCTCGCTGGCGAAAGAGGGAGCTGCCGTCCCTGTTGGAGATGCGAGCGACGTTGTGAATGTTTCGCAGGAGGAGAAGCTTTGGCTCAGAGAGGTGATGCCCTGATTGCAGAGCAGAAGGATCACGCAATGAGTCAGTTGCTCCAAGACCTTGAGAAAGGCGTGGTGGGTTTGGAGCCGCTTGCAGGTGGACTTCCCAATTTTGAATCTTGGCGCTGGCTTGGAGGCCATGGGACAGGGGATAGCTGCGCACTGGCCCACTAGCCAGTAAGCAATGATTGTGTCGCGGTCCTGGTAAAAGGCGCGCAGCATTCAGTCCATAACGGGCTTAATATTCAATTACGGGCGTGTGCCTGTTATTAACGCGCTCTTGGAAACGTAGCTAATAGCTGCAGCGCGTTCGCCTTAAACTCCCTTTAGCTTTTCAGGCTGGGGCTTGCCCGCAAGCCACCGAGTCCAATCCAACGAAACTCGAGCTTCTGGTTCCCACATGGGCAATGCAATTATACACCCCCAAGCCAATCGAATTGTCATAGGCACATAGTCTCTGGGCCCATTGGTTCTGTGGATTCTAGAGTCAAGGTTCCCAGGCTTACGCAAAGAGGTTCGTCGCAAGCTGTGAGTGTTGGTCGCTATTTCAGGGGCTATCACAGAACCTCACGTTTCAATCATAAAGGCCATTGATGTTGCAAGGAAGGCTTTGCGCACGCGTGCGTTATATTTTTATACCAACCATAGTTTGTTCATACCCAAGGAACAGCTAAAAAGTACGCGTTTACAAGGCGCTGGATCAAGGGTTAAGTGTCGCACATGTTCAATACCGTTCAGGGTGAAACAACCTTCGTCCGAATAAGGAAGGGAGCTTTCTTCAAATTTTTCATAGGCGCAAGCCTCTATTCTATGTATCTCTATGCTCTTTACCCTATGTATCTCCTTGCTCCTTACCTCTACCCTATGCTCTACTCTATGTACTTCAAAGGACAGCCCAACAAAAACAACAAGCCAGCGCAACACAAGGGGACAACCTAACAGCAAACGCGCAAGAAAAGACAACAAATGAAAAAAACCAGCGCGAACAGGCTCGCGCAGGTAACTCCCTACCTGCGCTTTCCACTAGCCGTTTGGATTCAATATTAAAACTATCTTATGTACTTGCGGTTGGGGCCAGGCTTCACTTGTCACTTGCTCGCTTTCCGCTCCACCAATTTTTTCCCCTTCGCATCATTCCAGTGGTTGTGTTGGGGAGCAATGTCTCGATGCATTGTTGTTGTTGTTGTTGTTGTCGGTGTTGTTGTACAAATGCTTGTTGTCGGCTGTTTCATTATAGGATGTTTCTTTTTGGAACGGTCAGGGTTAGTGTCAATGTATAGACGTACGACGCGTGTGTGTTATGTCAGATCTGTCTTCGTACTAGAGGCTGCTCTGCTGGGTCGAGTCAAGTCTCAACTCAATTCAATCTGCTTGGTCAATTCTGCTGGTTCGGCCTCGCCTCCCATTTGCACTTTGACTGGAAGTGTCAGCGTTCACAAATTGTTTGGTTGCTGCTTCATGTGTAAGTGGGCATGTCCTGCCTGCTTGGCAAACACGCTGTCTCTTCAGCGCAACGTCTTTCCCCAGTGTATCCTTCACCTTCATTGAAAATTCCTCGCTGCAGGCCAGCAAACTGATGGAAGTTGGGGCAGAGCGGCTGAAGACCTTCCAGAAGGTTGAGCGGTCGCTCACAGAGAAAGCCAAGGCGTTGAAGCAGCTGTGCGCGCAAGCGGCTGCGACTGCGGCGAGGTACAATGTGGCTGAGCCTGAGATCTTGATCAAGGGCCGCTCAGTGATGGATCGTGTGATGGTCACAGTTTTGGAAGCTCTCCTTTTGAGGGCGCTGAGCATTGAAGATGGCAAGCAAAGCAAGCAAGAAGTCCGCTTGCAAATGCAACGGATGACTGACCAGAAGGTTGGTGCAGTGTGCAGTCCTTTGCTTCAGGCATGCCAAAAGGCCATGAATGCCTAGGTCGCACCAGTGAATCATGTGCGCCTGAGCCATTGGCTAGGAGCTGCAGCAGGCCAGCCTTTCCAATAAAGGAGCGACTCTGAAAACATAACGTTTGAATTATATTCCTTCCTTTTGGTTCCATGAGGTGCCTCTCAGTTTTTGTTTCCAGAGGTAGTTTTTGACCTTTGGTGGGTTTTGGAGGTATCAGAGTCCGATGAGCCCGACGGGCAAAGAAGGGAGAGTCTGCTGTTTGCTCAGGCTTTGAGAAGCTCAAGCTGGTTTTTGATAGGCGCAGTGCATTAGTAATAGTACACAAACAAATCTAAGTTGGGGCATTCGGGGTTGTTGTCTTTTAGATTTGGGGATGTTGGTTTTTGCACATATTTGTGCTTTTTGTATTGAAAGTTAATTTAGACCATATTCGCCCACCAGACCTTTTCACTGAACAAACCAACACAATTGTTGGTACAGTGCAAACGGCTGCCAGGCTTGAGTTGCAGAGGGTCAAGCAGTCAACCCGCAACATCTGGGACCCAGACTTTGGAATCTTCAGCAAGCTGGCTGGCAGCAAAACCGCCGCCCAGACTTACTGAGTACTCCAAAGCTGGCTCCCAAGAGTGCGGGCAAGACTGACTTCACAGCTCCAGAAAACAAGCTGGCCGAGCCTGCAACTGGACAAAGCAACACCACCGCACCAGACCCACCCACAAGCCATCAAAGGCGAGAGCACACTTTTCCACACACCACAATGAGTCCACTGTGTTGTGTCCCCCTGGCCAGCCTGTGCCGTCAAAGCCACTTCAAAGTATCGGTGTTATTTGAAACACAGTTGGTCAGACCAAAAAACACAGGCCAGCCACAAAGCACTTCTCAAAGTGCAAACCTTTCAGGCTGCAGCGGCTTCAAATTTCAGAGCACGGCCACCTTCCAATGCAGAGTCAATCTGCCAGATCACAACTGGCCGAATTGGGCTCAGACCGTTCACGGTCCAGAGACCATCCACACCACAGCACTTGTTTTGGTGCTCCAAAAGTGGCACGGCATAGTCAAAGCACCCATCACTTGAGTGGCTGATGCAACGGCGCCCTCAGTGTTCTCACCAAGCTGGCCTGCTTTTGGCTTGAACACGACTTTGTGGTCCTGCAAGGGTCTTGTGCAGCACCGACTAGCCCAAAAAAAACAGGAAACAGACAAGACTCATCAGGCCGAGCCTGCTGCAAAGTGAAGGTGTCCTCACCAGGCTTCTCTTGCATGGTGTGGTAACACACTGATGCAGCACCAGTGGACGCCTTCTTGGCGCGGATGGCCTCAGCCAAGCTCAGGACCTTTTTGTCCAGCATAACCAGGTCCGAAGCGTCCTTCAAGTCAAACGCAATCTCGGCTTCAGCATCAAAAGGTGATGTGGTAGCACTCACTTCGCGGAATTTTCCCTCTCCAAACCCACAACAGAGAGAGTGCATGGCAATGTGGACCTGACAGGCCCCAAAGCAGGCAGCACACAGCCCGCCCATCTCAGAACAATGAAAACATCATAACATCTGTGATTAATTGAGGCAAACGGCAGGTGTGTCTGCAGGGTTCACAAGTGCCACCACAGATCCGGTTCGCGCGGACAAGAATGGAGGGGCGCCAGAAGATTTGATGCTTTGCAAAATCACCTGGCCAGCCAGCGCATCAAAAACGATCTGGATAGCTTGGGCAAGCCTTGATAATTTGCAATCTGCCCAGCCTTTCGAGTTTCCACCCCAGTCAGCTCATCCACAGCAACAGGGGCAACACCCTTTCGAGCACGCTTGGCTGAATCGGTTGCCTCCGATGTCCCAGCACGCTTGGTGCCTGGGCCGGTTCGGTTGGCTTCCTTGTAGTCGGCCACAGTGCCATACTGCTCAGTCAGGTCATCAACAAACTTGCGGAAGCGCTCACCAAAGGTTTCATGTTGGTAATACAAACGGATCAAATGCTCGGGAACCCCTGGAACAACAGCAATGCCATCAGCATCCTGGCCAGGCGAGAACATGCACTGTGCACGAAAGAACATGCACTCAGTCACGCCTTCGCAAAGATGAGCTTCTTCATTGGAGGAAGATCAGGTAGAGGCTCCAAAGTCTGTGCAGGGCATTCAGGCCCCATCCTGCAAGCAACAAATGAAGGAAGACAGCGCAGAAGAACCAAAACAAGTAGAAACAGCATGCGGCCAGCCAGAATGGCTGCCAGTCCCAGGTTGCCTGCCAGACCCAGAAAGGCTGGCTGGCACCAAGGCTGGCAGCCAAACTAGCAAACAAACAAGAACACATTTAATGCAGGAAGTGTAAAGAACATTGCAGAAAGTGCAAAGTGCAAGACAACAAGCATGCATTTTCTGCCTCACGGTGAGTCCTAGTTAGCAGCCGAAGGCTTGGACAACAACTTTGCTTTGGGCTTTGGCTCACCCAACTCAAAAAACTTCCGGTCAAATTCATCCCGAAAGTGACGGAGGTGTTTGGCAGGTTCATCAGAACTCTTGGCCCTCTTGGCCTCCACCTTGGGATGCTCATCAGGCTCACAGGTAGCTTTGGCCTCCACCCTGAGAAGCTCATCAGGCTCGCAGGTAGCCATGGCCTCAACAAATTTTTCAGGGCTAAGCTTCGGCTGCTTCACTGGCGTCTCCACCAACTTGAAGTCCTGCAGCCCACCATGAGGGTCTGGTGGCAAAAATGGCTCCAAGGAGTCAGCCGGGCTGGTAGGGCTGTCTTGTGCTGGCTCCCTCTTTCCTTGAGAAGGGTGGAGGGCCATCTTCTTCTCACGTTTCTTCTCACGGCGTTTTTTCTCACGCAGCCACTTCTTGTCCATCATGGTGCGAAGCTTCCTCTCCTTCTCCGTCTTTGGTTCCCATCGAGGTGCCTGCGGCATGGCGCCCACAAAGCCGCTGGCTGGGTCTAGCGCCGGTGGTTTGAGCCACAAGGAGCAAGTGGCAGGAATGGCTTTGATGAGATTGCCTGTGACCCTCCAGAGTTTCATGTGCAACTTTCAGTCCTCGTGTGCCCTGGCACGACCAACTTGTCCTCCACAAACCTGGCAGCCAAGATGTCCACACTGATGGTCTTGAACCAATCCGCCGCATTGTCATCAGGCCACATGCATGTGTAATGCATGCTCACATTGGCGCTCTGCTGCGCGTCCACGAATCCCTGACAGACCGATGGAAGGGAGCAAACAATACAAACATGTATTTCGCCAAGGGTGTGCCTCAAAGAAGTTGCCAACACCTGGAAAAAGGTCCAGGAAATCCAAGGCAGATTGATTTCCGAAGTTCACCCCATCCTCAAACTCAGCACAGTTGACATTCCACAACATGGCCGACCATAGCAAAATGTAACCCATTCAACGATGAATGCAAGCCAAAACTCAATCAAAAGAGTTAGAACCTTGGAGGCAGCAGGCCCCCCAATCTGGGCACTCTTGGCCGCACCGCGGACACCGCCATCAGCAGCAGTCGTTGAAGGCAAGGCAGATGCATTGCAGTCTTCAATGGCGCGCATATCTTTGCTGGCCATTTGCTTGACCGGTTCGGTACGGCCATATGTGAGCGCCCCACTCTTTTTCCAAAAGTAGTCTTTGCCCACCACAGCTGCTGGCATCAAAACACGCCCAGGATATGTGAGAGGCCGATCATCCCGAGCATCCTTGCACAGAAAACAACAATCAGCAAACACAAATTTCCTTTGGATTTCAATTGTCATTTCTCAAAAACTCAGCCCTGGGCACACTTTTCCTTGAAAGTCAAGAACCACTGGCGGTCACAATGCGCTCCAGTATTGGCCAAGTATTGCATGATGGTGGATTCCTCTTTCCAGACACCGTTCTTGGTATAGCTAAAAACAGGTGTCAACACAAGGCCAATGCCCTTGATGGAATCGGAAAGGACATATTGGCTCATGTGCATGGCTGCATGGAGTGGGTTCACACCAACCAATGCCGGAGCGGTGCAGTTGAGCAAGATGACCGGGACCTGACCCAAAAGAGTGGGACATTATGTGTCAAACAAATCGACCTGCAGGTTAACCGATGGCAAATGACAATTTTCATTCACAGAGCAAGCTGAGTGGCAATGCCATCGGTGGAAATTCCCAATTGCCGTGCACGAGATACGCGCTCCTCCTTGTAGGCTGTGATGGCTGCTGCTCCAGGTTCATGAGTTTGCCACACCAGATTGCTCACCTCATTGACTGTTAACACGGTCAGGGGTTCCCAGAACACCTTGAATTACACATTACCAGAACACCTTGAAGGTACCACCAGGTCACATGAACATCAAAGTAAGCTTCAGCAGCATCACGGGCCCCCTCAATGGACTTGCCTTTCCATTCCTGAATTTTCCGGGCTCTATTGGCCTGCGCATTGGCCACCTTCTGCTGGTACACCAGGAAGGATTGCATGGAAGTCCCTCTTTGGATGGACTAGCAGTGGCCAGGCACCCCCCAATGGATACTCGAGCTGACGAATCAGATGCTGACTCAGGTGTCACAGGCACGACAAAACCCTCACCCAGGTTTGCGCAGCCGGTGCCTGTGGGGGTTGCTGACCCTCTGGGATTGTCTGAAGGAGAGTCAACAGAGGAGGAAGAGGCCGCAGAAGACCCCACCTATCTAGTCCCGCAAGGGCATGGGCGATTTGCCATCCGCTACTCCAGGCTCGCCACAGCATTGGGCAACTTTGAAAAGGGCAATGCCCGAACAGAGAGCACGATCGTGGCGGGCTGGTTGACCTCTGGACTCGAAATAGCCATGTACAGAATGGGGTGGAACCTCCTATCGACACGAAAAGAGCTCACAAGACTGGATAGTAGGACACTTTACCACAACTTTCACTACGGCTACCCTCATTGCCATGAAGATGACGGACCGTATCAGAAGTATGGTAACTACTTATGCACAGATGAAGAGTGGGTGAAGCTTTGCTACTGGCTCACGGGGGATCCCACCTTCCTCAAAAAAGTAGAGCGCCGCCGAAAAGAACTGAGGGAAAAGATCCTAGGCCCC